GAAGGACCACCCCCTACAGCAAAAACCTCTCCAAAAAAAAAAAAAAGAAAGAAAAAAAACAACATTTTAGTTCTCCCTTTATCTTTTCTGATATTATCCAAAAGCTAACTTAATACAACTGTTTCATCCAAATTTGTTCTCAGGGAAAAAGACAACTGTGGTTCTGTGCCACTTTTTCATTCAATAATTACCTTTTCCTGCATTTGAACTGACTCCATGGTTGTCAGCTGAGTGTCTGACAGTTTTCCACTTAGGAGAGATACCTCAAACAAATGAACTTTATTTTCAAATGACAAGACCAGGCACACCAACAAGACCTGACAGCTAAGCCATGATGAACACATCGCTGAGTGTTTCCTCATCAACCAGGGACTCCTGATATTAGTAGAAAACTCTACTTCCCAATCCCTCTTCCAGCCTCTTGCTCACAGTGAGAAACTGGTGAGACAGATTTCCTGAGAAGGGAGCATCTGGGTGACCCTGGATATAAGCGAGTAGAAGGTACAGGAGAAACCAAGTCTCCCAGTGAAGGAAAGAAGACTAGAGCAGAACAAATTAAGACCAGAGAACAAAACTCATCAGTGCCTCAGGATAAAGCAGAGGCCACTCTGGCTGCCCTGACAAAAGGGTACCACATGCCACTGGGAAGGAAGGATAAATGTAAGGAACAGAACTATAGAACCAGCCTTTGGCTTCTACTGCCTGTTAGGTGAGTCTAAATGAGGCTTTGCTCCCATTAGACAAACCTGCTATGATCCTGGAGATGGTGAGTCAGGCATGTTCCAGACATCCTTACCAGAGAATACATCCATAGCAATTCCAAATTCCCAGTTCGCCTTTGGCAGTAGAAGCCTTTGCTTCTACTGCCAAAGTAGTAGTAGGCTTTGCTCCCATTAGACAAACCTGCTATGATCCTGGAGATGGTGAGTCAGGCATGTTCCAGACATCCTTACCAGAGAATACATCCATAGCAATTCCAAATTCCCAGTTCCTAAACTATGCCGAGTCACCCTACATTGTAGCCACACAAGAAAAGTCAAGTATAGCAGCACACATCTGTAATCCCAGGTACTTGGGGGCTAAGGCAGGAAGATCACCAGTTTGGAGCCCTTGAGTGAAAAGCAACAATACAGCAAGTCCTATCTTTAATTTAAAAAAAAAAAAAGAAAAGGAAGAAGAATAGAATTAGCTTCATAAGAAAGCTAAAAGTTTTAATTCAAGAAATGAGTAGAAGTTTACAAGCAACTCCGAAGAGGTGTCAGCAGTTCACTCCAAATAACCGGCCATGCTCACAGCAGAGCTTGAACTCCACAGAATCACTTTGTCCAGTGCTTCTTGAGATGCTCTTTCAGCTGAGGGATAGAAGGCAGCAGCTGCTGGCACTCGTGACAACGAAGGGGCAGCTTCAAGAGCTCAGGCATTCCATCTCGGACAGTCACTCTGCCAGTCTCTTGTACCATCCTCATCACAGCTACAGGCAAGAAAGAAAAGTTCAGATTCCAGCGTAAGATACCAAAAAAAGAAAACCTGACATTCTACAGCTAGTAAGCCTGAGGTTAGACTTTCCGCTGGAAAGTACTTGATCAGACTTTATATCTAAGCAATCTACTTATGAGGTAATACATTCCTTCAGACAGACTCTAAGCAACTCATGTTCCTATGTTAGAGCTCATCACAGCTTTACCCTTGGTGGCTCTTGATAAATGGTAGCTATCATCAGTAACATCCTAGCAACACTGAACTTGCACAGTATACACAAAAGGAAATGCTTCCTTCTATTGGGTCGTCAGAAAAGTCATGACACATTTTTCTATGATTTTCTATGCAAAAACGCATCATCACTTTTCTGGTGACCCATTCCATACACACCTTCCCCTGTTAATTAAGCAGTTCTGGCACAAGGCAGCCCCCAAACTCCTGCTCAAATGATGGCAGGAGAGACAAAGAACTGTTATGGGTTTTCTTATTTATGATCTGTAGTGATTCTCATGACAACTTTGAAGTCCCCGGTTATTACAGTGAAACACTTTTTGACTGCAGCCTAACAGCATTCCAGGTCCCCCCAGAAGGCTGCTCACAGCAAAATGGCAACTGTACTATAATCCAAACAATCCAATTTCTTTTACTAGGGCTCTCTTTACAGGAAATACAAGGTATACATAGGGATTTTTTAGATCGCATTGTTATTTATGAAAACAACTGAATCAAGTACAACCACCACTGAGAAAAATAAGCAAATGTGAAAACCAAACAACACTTTACCTTGTGATTCTAGGAAGTATTCTGTATTAAAAGAATTCCAGTGTTTTTTGTTTTTAAGGCAAGGAGAATCAAAATCCTGGCTGATCACATGAAGGTGCACATGGCTAGTTGAAAGGAAAAAAATTGATCATTAAATTCACTAAAACTATAGCTTAATTGGGCCAGCAGATGCCACAGAGGTTAAAGCAGCTGGATCCCATGTGGGTGACTAAGCTATTCAAGTCCCACATTCAGTGGCTTGAAAACATGCCAGGTATGTATGTGTGCACGAATGTGTGTATACTCAAAATCCCAAGAGGAGAAAGGATTGCAGTGTGGCCATCACCCCTGGTGACTTCTCACTTTCCCTACATCCCTGTCTTCCTCTTTCTGGAGAGTGCACGCTCCCTATAGCAAAAAACAAACAAACAAACAAAAATTACAGCTTAATCAAAATGACAAACAATAAAAATATGGCTGTACAAGTATTGATAGTGTGCTTGTGTAATTCAATGCATTTACTCAAGAATATTTAATACTGGAAATTCAGCTGTGAACAAAATTGGAGAATCCTTTGCCCATATAGAAATTATATTTTAATGGGGAAGACACATAATAAATAAGTAAACAAACAAGGAAAATTCCTATCGTTAACATTATTAAAAGAGAAAATAAAAGAGGGAAATGAGATAGAGTGTGCCTGTAGGCAGAGGTAGCCCCTTTAACTAGTTAAGAGTGTTCAGGGAAAACCTCTCCAGCAGTAAGTTGAACTGAGAAAGCATCCAGACAAGTAAGATCTGAGAGAAGAACATCTCAGGGAGTGGAGAAACTGCCCTAAAATGAGAAAGAGCTTGGTGCAAACAAGGAAGAGAAAAAAGGTATTACAGAGACCAGCAGATGGAGTAATGGTTACATCATTGGACTCCTACGTAGTCATCTATGGTATGAGTCTCAGACCTGGCAGCTTCAAATTCACACTGGGCGAGCATACGTGCACGCCCAAAATCCCAAGAGGAAAATGGAGGAGAAAGGATTGTGGTGTGGCTAGCCCCACTCAGGGGTGATTTTTTTGCTTTCGGTCTCTCTATTTCTATCTCTTTGGCAAGCACATGGACCCTCTAGCAAAAATCTCTACACACACATACAAAAAAAAGGTATTATAGCCAGAGAGGCCAGAATTCTTGGAGCCAAGAGGGGAAGAATACACAGGACCAGGTCATAACGGCCAGCAAGCAGTTTGCATTTTATTCTGATTACATTAAGGAGTCACTGAAGGACTGAGAGCTATCATCTGATTTACACTGTTAAAAGACCACTCTGTTGTATGGGGTAAAGACTACAAGAAGAGTAAGAGGGGGGCTGGCAGGTGGTGTGGTGGTTAAGGCACTGGATTCCCACATGCCTACTGTGGTTCTAGTCCTGAATCTTACAGACTGCTTTCTCACTTTCTCTCTCTCTCTCTCTCGCCCTCTAGTGAGCACATGTGTCCCGTAACATATTTAAAGAAAAGAAAAAAAAAAAAAAAAAAGAAGGGTAAGAGGGATGATAATAACTGGGAGACTAGTTAGGAAGTTGCTCTATAGTCTCACAGCTTAGACTAGAGATGAACTATAGAAACTGAGATAGCAAGAAGCAATCTTATTTAGGTCCAGCCAGGGTGTGATGGTTAAGGAAGATAGATACAGGGCTGACTGTACAGTTCCAGTCCCAGACCCAACAGCTTGAAAAACACGGCATATATGCCATGTGTGCTCAAAATTCTGAAAGGAGAATGGAGGAGAAGAGACTGTGGCATGGCCATTTCCCCTGAGGGGTGATTTCTCACTTTCTTCCTCTCTCTCTCTCTCTGTGGCAAACACACACACCTTATAGCAAAAATTTTAAAAAGAAGCAATCTTATTTTGGGTCTGACTCCACAGCCTAGTGGTTAAGAGGACTGGATTGCATATAGCAGACTATGCAGTTCAAATTCAGACAAGGTGGAGAGATGGAGAAGGAGGGATTGTACGTGACCACACTTCATGAGAGGACACTTTCACCTTCTCTCTCTCTTTCTCTTTGGTGAGTTCCTACATTCTCTAACAAAACTTAAAGGAAAAAAAAAAAAAAGCAATCCTATTTTGAATATATTTTGTAATAGAACTAATAGGATTTACTAACTATGGAGTTGTAGAGAAAGTCATGACGTATTTTCACATAAGATAATATGTCACGACTTTCCTGATGACTTAATAGCTGTTGATTTGAGGCACTGCTATTTACTGAGATGGAAAAGGGTGGGGGATCAGCAAGTTAAGGGAAGGATCATCAGTTCTCTTTTGGACTTTTTACCAAATAGATGAAATGCTTTTTTTTTGTACAGCTTTCACTCTTAGAATTGATATTTTACAGTGCCCCCAATAAATCATCAAAATCAACCAATATGTTTGCAGAATTCAAAATGGAGTGTAAGCAGTAACAAATAAATGTAACTGTATTACAAATGAATAAAGGAAATCACACCCAATGGGGTAAGGAGTAAAAAACTAACCTAAGGAACTTTGAAACAGTATTTTGACTAGATACTGTAAGGCTAATGACAAAAAGAACTGTCAACAAATAACATACTCTATAGTTAGTAAATGTCTTTCTCCCAGGGTATAGGTTAGCAATTCTATTAACTATTTCATATGTATTCCAGGACTGAAGAAGCTAGTTAGTTTACTATAACTAATGAGAGCCAGGTGAGCCAGCAGGTGGTGAGGAGGTTAAGGGGGTTAGATCCCACATGGTCAACTCTGCAGTTTGAGCCCTGGACCTGGTGGGCATACATGCCCAAAATTCTGAGAGGAGAATGGAGGAGAAAGGACTGTGGTGAGGCCTCCCCTTGGAGAACAATTTCTCTCTCTCTCAATCTCTCTCCCTCTCTCTCTCTCTTTCTCTCTCTCTCCCTCCCTCCCTCCCTCCCTCTCTCCCAAAGGGCACATGTCCTAAAGCAAAATAAATAAATAAATAAATAAATGAGAGAGAGAGAGAGAGAGAGAGAGAGAGAGAAATCCCAACGGTTTCTTATTAGAGAAGATGTGACAAAAAATGAGAAAAGCCGGACTAGAATCAGAGGTATCGGTATGAACTCATGATTTTCCATATATACATATATACACAAGTAGATAAATAATGAATTAGAGTTGGGGGGGAGTTTAGGATTCATACATGTATTTCCTGGCTCTATTTGCTGAGGGGACTTAGAAGCAAGGACACCCTGGAATTAAATATTTCTCTCATTACAGAAACTTAGTGCCCAAGTTTTGGTTTGTAAATACTATTGTCCAAGAAAAGGACCTAAGGTTCTCTGGAGAAGTGACTCATTCCAGAGCTAGGACCCAAAAGAAAATATAAGATGAACCTGGAACATCTTATGGGCCCAGAAAATAAGGAAGTGTCCCAAAAATGTTAGGGACGTGTCAAAGTGATACAGGAGCCAACCCAAAGGAACTTACAGTGACGAAAGCTGGAACAATTTGAACAAACTAAATAATGGAAGTATTTGATTATAACCAGTATTCTATTATAGAATCAATATCCATGAGTCCAGGACCAGCCCCATAACGTAGTGGTTATGGGATCTGGATATCACTGGGCCAACTGCATGTTGAATCCTGGCCCCAGCAACTTGATAAACATACTGGGCACATATGCATGCATGTCCAAAATCCCAACAGGAGGAAGAAATGGAGAAGGGATTGCTCCTCTGGAGGGGTGCTTTCACTTTATCTCTCTCTCTCTCTCTCTCTCTTTTTGAAGAAGTTTTGTTTTGTTTTGCTTTGCTTTTTTGCTATAGGGTGCATGCACTCGCCAGAAAGACAGAGATAGAGAGACAGAAAGTGAGAAATCACCCCCCCGTCAGAGGGGCTACCCATGCCACAATCCCTTCCCCTCCATTCTCCTCTCAGGATCTTGGGCACACATGCACACGTGCCTGGCATGAGTTTAAGCCACCAGGTCCAGGACTCAAACCACAGTTGACTACATGGGAGTCCAGCGATGTAGCCATTATGCCAACTGCTGGACCCTCACTTTCTCTCTTTCTTTCTCACTCTCTCTCCAATACACATGCCCACTTGCAATTAAAAATAAATAAGATAAAATAACAATCTAATCATTAAAAACAATTTTGAGAGACATCCTGTAAAACAAGTAGCCAGTACTCATCAAAAACATCAAGGTCATGAAAACCAGGAAAGCAGGCATCAATAGAATAGCCATCAATTGGAGGGGACCAAGGAGAGACAACAAATAAATGCAATTTGCAGTCCTGGATTGGATCCCAGAGTAGAAAAAGAACACTTGAGATAAGAAAACTTATTACCCTTCCCTTCCTGTTGTGTTTATTTATTTAAAAGTTACATCATAAAGAGTGATCACAAAAGGCATATGAGTGGCAAGCTCCTTCACTACTCATTTTGCGTCCCACATACACCTGCCTCAGCCCTTGCTTTATCATTCTCCTTAGCACGACTGTGTTCATTACACGAAAGGGGTATGTACACCATGGCTGCTGTGAAAAGGACTCTGGCCAAGGGCTCTGTTAGTCATGGGTGACTTTTCCTCCTAAATTTTCAAATACGGTTTTAACACTGTATTTTTGAAATGAGGTACAACCTACATCCACCATATAACTTGGCAATTCCATCTCTAGGTATTTACCCAACAAAATAAAGTGGGTCCATGTTAGCAGGTGGCATGGTGATTAAGGCACTGGATCACACGTGGCTGGCTGTGTAGTTTGAGTCCCAGACCCAGTGGATTAAAAAAACATGCCAGAGGACCAGCAGATAGCATAATGGTTACATCACTGGACTCACACATAGTCAACTACGGTTTGAGTCCCGGACTGGGCAGCTTAAAACTCAGGCTGGGTGCAGGTGTGCGTGTGCCCAAAATCCCAAGAGAATGGAGGAGAAGGGATTGTGGCATAGCCATACCCTGCAGGGTGATTTCTTGCTTTTTATCTCTCAGTCATTCTCTCTGTGTCATGTGCACATGCCCTATAGCAAAAATCTCTCTAAAAAAATTTTAAATAAATAAATTAAAATTTAAAATAACATTAAAAACATGCCAGGCATGTATGCAGGACAGTTGGGAGATGATAACTCACTTTTCCTCTCTCTTTGTCTCTGTCCCTATCCAGGGAGTGCACGCACTCTATGGCAAAGATCTAAAAGAAAAATTATTGGCCAGAAAAGGAGCAGGCACTGTATGATTCCATTTATATGAAGCTCTGGAACCGACAAAAACTACCTATGCTGAAAGAATCAGAATAAGGCTTGGTAGCTGAAGGGAAATTGACAGGACAGGAAAGGGGCACAAGGGAATTTCCTGGGATGAGATGACAGACAAGTTGATCTGAGTGACAGTGACATGTGTACATTTGTCAAAACTGACTAAACAAGGGCCAGTAGGTGGTGCAGTGGTTAAGACAACTGGATCCCACATGCCCAAATGCAGTTAGAGTCTGAGACTCAGTAGCTTGAAAAACATGCCAAACACATGTGAGTACACACTCAAATTCCTGAGAGAGCGGAGAAAAAGGGAAGTGGTGCTGTCTCACTTTCTCTCTCTCTCCCACCTCTAATGAGCACACATACCCTATAGCAAATTTTAAAAATATTAATAAAATGTAAATTTTGTTATGCATATTTTACTACAATTTTTTAAAAACAGAAAAACTCTGAAATCTACTCTCATCATCTTATTACTTAGACACTGTTGATATCTGCCTTGCTTGTGGTCTTTGAAAATGTTCAATCATTCTTTTCCAAATGCTTCTGGGTATGAGCCAAAGGAAAAGAGACAACACTGTTGACTGTCTTTATCTCTCTCTCTCTCTCTCTTTTTTTTTCTTAGTTTACTATAGAGTGCATGCATTCACCAAGGAGAAAGACAGTAAGTGAGAAATCATCCCCAGCAGGGATGGCCATACCACAATCCTTTCTTCTCCATTCTCCTCTCAGGATTTTGAGCACGCACACACATACACACACACACACACACACACACATACACACACATGCCTGGCATGTTTTTTGGCTGCTAGGTCCAAGACTTCAATGGCACAGCCAGCCAGCCATGTGGGACCCAGCCACTTTAATCCCTCATTTTATTTTAAATCTTAGATGTACTGGGACCAGCAGTTAGCGTAATGGCTATGTTGCTGGACTCCCATGTAGTCGACCGTGGTTCGCGTCCTGGACGCGTATGCGTGCGTGCCCAAGATCCCAAGAGGAGAATTGAGGAGAAGGGATTGCGGCATGACCTTCCGCCCGGGGGGTGATTTCTCGCTTTCTGTCTCTCTGTCTCTCTCTGTCTGGCAAGCGCATGCACCCTATAGTGAAAACCTCTCCAAAAAAAAATCTTATATGTACTAAATTGGCATCACAGAAATGTATGTTTTTTTTCTCCATAACAATGGTCCTTAATCTTTTAATGATTAGAAATTATTTTGAAAAATTCAATAAAGACCACAATTCTTAATCTGAGAGTAATGAAGCTGTTTCATCTAGTTGCTATGTTTGGCCATCGCAGGTCTAAGGAACAAAGAACCATGTGCGATTAAACTTCAGTCAGCAGTAGGAACCTGAGGCTTGTAGGTAAGTCTGGGAGAGAGGTGAAAGGGTCAGCCCACCTGCCTTAGAAATATCCCACCCTTCTTCCCTGGGCCTCAGGGATATCAGCACAGTCAGCAAGCCCAGGCTGAACCTCCCCACCCATCTGGAGAGAACCAGGAGGCCCCAGCACTACCTACGTGCTTACCTCATGCTGGGAATGGCATGGTAGCCCAATCGGAAGCGGAGCTCGCTGGACCCAGCAAAATCTGCAATCACCTTTTCCCCAACAGTGTGCATATGTTTGAGGAGTTCCAGGTGTTCCCTGGTCACAGCCTTCAGACTAGAAATGGAGGCCCATGGTAAGACCAACCAATGGTGACGAGCCTTAGGGTATTTATCCTTAATCACCACCACCTGATCATCTTTGTAAACCTAACAGAGGGACATAAGAGAAGGAAACAGACTTCTGAGACACCGTCGTGGGCCAGGTGCCATTGTCACTTAATCCCCATGAGGACGTTGTGGAAAAGGTTTTGTTTTGTTTTGTTTTGTTTTGTTTTGTTTTTGGAGAGGTTTTTTTCTATAGGGCGTGTGCGCTAGCCAGAAAGAGACAGAGAGATAAAAAGCGAGAAATCACCCCCTGGGGGGGATGGTCACGCCACAATCCCTTCTCCTCCATTCTCCTCTCGGGATCTTGGGCACACATGCACACGCGCCCAACATGAGTTTAAGCCACTGGGCCTGGGACTCAAACCGCAGTAGACTCCCACAACACAGCCATTATGCTAACTGCTGGTCCCTGTGGAAAAGGTTTTAACATCTAATTTTGAGAGAAGAGTACTAACACTCAAAAAGGTTGAGTGTCTTGCACAAGTAACATAATTACTAGGTAGGAAATCTAGGTTTGTGTTTTCAATCACTACACTGTATTGTATCCACAGAAGATGCACAGTATAAAAGACTGTAGTTCCCCAGGATGTGATATAAAATCTCTTAAGGCATAAATTCAAATGTAACCTTCTTCACTCTCCATGTGATATAAGCATCTGAGTTCCAAGGAGCCTTATCAGACCTGGCCCTTCAGGATGTAACTGAAGCAGAATTCAAAGGCTCCTCCAAAGGTGATGTCTGACTGCTAACCCAGGGAGCACAGTACTACAGTTACAATACATTATTTGATGCTCTCTTGAGAGGGACTGCACTAAGGTTAACATAACTTCCCTTAATCATGCCCTGAAGTTGAAAAGGGACAACACAAAACAGATATTCACTGGAATAATTTAGCTTTTCTCCAAAGAATACCAGTTGCTACCTTATTGCCATGGGAAAAGCCACTTGTTCTCACAGAACAGTCCAATAAAATGAATCTCATTCAGAACTGAAAACCTGGACCAGCAGATGGTGCAATGCTTACGTCGCTGGGCTTCCATGTAGTCAACTGCAATTTGAGTCCCAGACCCGGCAGTTAAATCTCACACCAGACTCAAGGAGGAGAGTGGAGGAACCAGCAGTTAGCGTAATGGCTGTGTCGCTGGACTCCCACGTAGTCGACCACGGTTTGCGTCCCGGACCCGGTGGCTTAAAACTCACACCGGGCACATGTGCGTGCGTGCCCAAGATCCCAAGAGAAGAATGGAGGAGAAGGGATTGCGGCGTGACCATCCCCCCTGGGGGATGATTTCTCGCTTTCTGTCTCTATGTCTCTCTCTGTCTGTCTGGCAAGCGCACACGCCCTATAGCAAAAAAAACTCTCCAAAAAAAAAAGGAGGAGAATGGAAAAGGGACTGCAGTGCAGCCATGCCCCTAGGAGGTGATTTCTTGCTTTCTGTCTATCTCTGTAACTCCAATGACTACATATCCCCCCAAAAAAACAGAACTGACATCCTTCAATTTAATTTGTAATTATGACCTCTTTTAAGTAGTCATTTAAAACAAGAAATGCATTTCAGTTCAAAATTTTATTCTGGGGGCCAGCAGGTGGCGTGGTTGTTAAAGGCGTGGATTTCCACGTGGCTAACCACAGTTTGAGTTCTGAACCTAGCAGCTTGCTTTCTTGCTTTTTCTTTCTGTAACTAAATAAATAAATAAATATTTTTTAAAAATGTATTCTGACCTGCATTTTGGGGTCCTGCATAGAAATCTTCAAGCCTTGGCTCCAGTGGCCCAGTGACTCCTAAACAAAAAAAATGACAATGTAAACTGCAAATGTCAATAATTAAATCTGGTGTTAGTTAACAATGTATGAAAGCAAAGTTCAACCAAATTTGGAGATAAAGTTCTATGAATTAAATTAGGCCCCTTTTACTTCAATCTGTCGCACTTTAAGACCATAAACCTCCCACTGCCCTCTTATATTCAGGGCTGAGTCTCTCGATGGAGGCTGGAAATGCCAGAGCATGAATCCCATCTTCTCTGTGTTCTCATTCAAATTACAGTCATCAAGTTTCCACTCTGACACCAGTATGTGAATGATACAATCTATGAAAAGTGGTCCAATGCTAACCTCCTATAGATATACAAACAACTGACCGATTTTAGTTGTTCAATACTAGTACATTGCTATTACTGCCCTACCTTCAGATGGCTCACCTTAAGAATGCAAGAGAAAAGCATATAAAGTAACATTAACCGAAGCGATTTTCATGCCACAAACAACTTAGTCTTTCATCATGGTTAATAACTCCTCACATGTGTCTGAGTTTTATAGTGTACAAAACAATTAAGTGGTCATTATATCTCATTTAATCCCCACATCTTCTCTCCATTACACTACCCTCACCTTTTTGGTAGCTGTACCTTTCTCCTTCTTTGGGGGCACAGAATATTGGCTAGGACTGCTCCCAGGTTCCAGTTCTGTCCCAGACTCAGCTTCTTGGGCAGCATCCCCTTCTACAGAATCACTGTTTTCTGACCTCTTTCTCTTCCTCTGCACTTCTAGGTCAGGACTCTTTGTCTTTTCCTCAAACTCTACAATATATGGATAAAGTCTGTTCACCATGTGGAGAACCTGGCCAGGCTGCAGCTTCATTTCTTGATCCTTCCCAATTATGACTGAGTCGATGCTGGTGGGATTTACCCCTACCTGTGGAATAAAAAAGTCATAAAATAATTATGAAAGTAGCAACAGCACCATTAGAGATATAGTGGTTGCTATGTTAACCACTTCTATGTGCCAACCACTGTGTTCACTGTTCACCTCTATTACTCTGTCACTTCTGCACATGACAGAAGCATTCCCTGGCTGGTACAGACACTCTAAAGTCAGTAGTGTAAGAAAATCATCAAGTAAAAATGGAAATCCAAGTTATAAACACACATACCTGCTTTACCTTGACATATCCCTTGTTACACTCTGCTTTCAATTGTACTGAAAAAAGATTGAAAAGAGTCAACACAAAGGCAACAAAGAATTAAGCACTTGCTCCTATTCTCCTTAAAGGACAATGAATTTTCACTGTGGAGGAAGTTTCAGATACTGCCCCAAAGCCTATGAGCACCCTGACAGGTGGCTAGGACTCCAAGTCTCATCATTTCTAAGAGCTTCAGTTCCTTCCATAAGATATCCAACAGTGTCATACTCTCTCAGCTACTGCTATTATCCCTACAAGGCAGCCTCAACGAAACCCCACACATTTCCCTATTCCAGAACTCTGGCCCACTCATGATCACCAACTCTACAGCCAGGAAACTCTATAGCACAAAATCTCAAGAAGAGAATGGAGAAGGAATTGAGGCATGACCATTTCTCTCACAGGCTCTTGACTCAGGATCAAACTGGGCCTCCAGTATTATTGTAAAAAAAAAAAAAAAAAACTCTATTAGGCCAGCTCCATACCTGGTGGTTAAAGTAGCTGGGTCCCATATGGCTAACTACACAGTTCCAGACCTGGACCAGATGGTCTATGGCCTAAGAAACCCTCCAGGTGTGTGTGTGTGTGTGTGTGCATGGGCCCAAAATCCCAAAAGGAGGGAGAGACAGAGGAGATGGGATTGTACTGTAACCATTCCCAGTGGGGAGCACTTTCTCCTCTCCCTCTCTATCTCTCTGTCACTCCAGCAAAATAATATTGGGTTGCCAAACATATTTTTTCCACACAAAAATGTGACATGACTTTTCCAACAACCCAATAATAATAATCAGATCCTCATCACAGAGGAAGAGGTAAAAGACATGTTCCTGAGAAACAGAAATTCAGCTGATCCTGGGTGGTAAGAGTGGAAAGAATGTTCTAAAAGGAGAATTGCAGGGATAAAACACTCTAAGCATGTATAAAAAGAGGAATATAAACATAAGACACTCTTGCTCAGATAAGTGAACAAAGTATCTGGGGTTGAGACAGGGATCAAAGAAGAGACATCACAGCTGTTCATCAGGGAGGATAGAGGACAGGCGGACACACACACATGCTCCTACAGTTTCTGCTGTGAGGAGAAAACCAGAGAGAGCAGCTGCTTCTGTAACTTTGGCCTACCCAGCTCAAGCAAGATTAACTTATCTTGTGTACAAAAGACCATGACTAGTACTACCGATTCCAACTCTCAGTGCAGAACACTTGGCAAGCCCTGCTACAGGGGTCACATTGCAGGCAGCAGTGAGAATTAAAAAAAAAAAAAAAAAAAACCAAAAAACAAAACAAAACAAAAAAACAGGTATATAGTAAGACTTTTTCCTGAGGGCAAGGACTTCATTTCATTAAATTCTTAAGACAGATATGAGCTGGATGCCATGGTCTTATGAAGATACTGCCTTCTATGTGAGGCCACATATAAATGATGGCACCATCCTGTATCTTCTCAGACAGGGTTTCAGCATGGAAACCCCAGAATTTTTTTGCTTTGATGTTTAATGAGCAATCTCTCTAAGCAAGCAAGGTATAGGACTCAATTCCACCATCCCATGATTACTAGATGGAATCCGTCTGTTCCCATCACCCTACCCTGCCTTGAATGTTACCACACTGGGAAGATGAAGTCAGGAATGAACGGGGCCCTAGTGTTGCCTTGAAGAGCTCAGTACCAGAATTTAGTTTTAGGCAGACAACTGGTTTTCCATCAAGAAGACCAGAAAAAGTGCATCTTTGGTTATCACTATGTTATAGAATCAAACATGGCAATTCTGATGAATAGTTACCTTGCTGTCGAGAACATTTCTTATCTGTGATCTTGGTCTCTGGGCCACGCCCAATCACAACTGCTTCCAAATGTGGAAGTTTGATTCGCTGGTGCCGGCTATCCTGTCTCACCAACCAGCACATGCGCATCATTACTCTGAGAGACAAAACAAGAGAATCACTAGAAAAATAGATTTACCAGCATGAGTCCTCCACAGCCACACTCCAGGGCCACCGCACATGTGAGTGACCAGCTATTCATCTTCAGGTAAGTGACTTCACCTCTCTAGTCTCAATTTCCTCACCTATAAATCATGATAATGATAGGACTCAGGAGGCTGCTGTGAGAATTAAATGAGATGATGTGGGTATTTATCTTCCTGCCTAACTCATGCTAAGTAATAAAATATTTGTTACACATTTATTGATATACTCTATGTGCTGGACAATAGGCTACATACTCATGGTCAAAGGTGAATAAAACATTGTCCCCTGGCCAGCTGGAGGTGTGGTGGTTAAGGCAGCAGGATCCCACATGGCCAACTGCTCGGGTTGGATTCCCAGACCCAGAAGCTTGAAAACCATGCTAGGCACAGGTGCACACGTGCCCAAAATCCCAAGAAGAGAATGGAGAAGGAATTGAGGCATGGCTATCCCTTCAGAGGTGATTTCTCACTTTTTTTTCTTTCTCTCTGGCGAGTGCACACATCCTATAGCAAACTTAAAAAAAAAAGAATTGTCTTGATCCATGAGGGGTTTGGAGTGCAGTGAGGCAGATGGATTCATACTAATTACTACAATATAATATGATAAGCACTATAAGAAGAGAGTAATCAAATATGGCATTAGCACAGTGAAAGGATTGACTGACTTTCAGAGCATTTTAAAAGGTTTTATGAAGAAAGGATATTTACACAGAACTTTAAAGGATGGGAGTTTGCCTGCCAGAGAACTAGAAACATTGAATGAAAATGTTTGGGACCAGCAGATGGCGTAATAGTTACGTAGCTGGACTCCCACGTAGTTGACCGCGGTTAGAGTCCCAGACCTGGCAGCTTAAAACTCATGCTGGGCATGTGTGTGTGCCCAAAATCCCAAGAGGAGAATGGAGGAGAAGGGACTGCAGTGTGGCCATCCTCCCGGGGAGGTGGGGGGGGGTGATTTCTTGCCTTCTGTTCCTCTGTCTCTGTCTCTCCAGTGAGCGCATGTGCCTATAGCAAAAATTTCTCAAAAAAAAGAATGAAAATGTTCATTATGTGTATTAGGTTTTCTTTCCTTAAACTGTCATAATGTAGTTAGAATAATACATTTTACTTCCATCTACCAGAAGATTAAATAAGCAAATAAATATAAATATGAAAATTTACAATTTCTAAAGGGTGTATGTGACATCTTTGTGCAATACACAACCTGCTCAATAATGGAGGTACTGACGCTCTTTGGAAAAATAACCTTTACGACATGTAGAGTATCAACAGAAAAGAGACAATTCAGAAGAGAGACTCGTCTGAACAAAAGCAGAAAGTAAGGAGGTGGAGACGAATAAGAGTCAGGAGAAATCTGTAAGAAAGGCCTAATTACTATGACATTTAGGGAATTGCAAAGGAGTGAGGGCAGATACCAACCAAAGATTTCTAATTTAGAAGATGCCCATAAGCCAAAATGAGGAATACACAAGAAGACATAATTTGGGGACAAAAAAAGGTGAAGGACCAATTTGTATTGAAGCACAATTAGTTTAAGTTGTCTAAAGATGGGATATGTTGGGGGTATGAAGTTCAACAGAGAGGAAGGACCTGAATATATATGCAAGAAGCATCAACCTGTCATTAAAAACTAAGCTAGAGAAGATGCAAAAATCCAGGGAGATGGAAGTTATAAGCAGGAATAGAATTAGATATTTGGGATGCCTCCTGAGACTCCAGATCCTAGTGCTTTAAGCCTCTCACACCCTCTCTGCAGTCAAGGCAGAACTGATTCCCTTCTGCACAAATTTGTGTCCACAAAAAAAAGGAAACCAAATTTTTAAAAATTAGAGTTTCGTTACCATCGACAAAGATAAGACAATGCAAAGCAGAATGAGCCAATGAGAGCTGAAAGGTGTGAGCATATGTATGCTAAGGTGGTACAAAATCCTGTATTAGTCAGGAAATACATCCAGAACTCAGAGAAGGCCAGGAGTCAGGAGAAATCTAGAAGAGAGATTTAATTATTGATGGCATTTGGAGAATGACAAAGGAGTAAAGGTAGATGCCAACCAGAGATTTCTAAATTTGAAAGAAAAGTGGGGAGGGATTCCATTTTAAATAGCAAAATCAGGGACCAGCAGATGGCGTAATGGTTACATCACTGGACTCCCACGTGTTCCACCGCAATTCGAGTCCTGGCGGCTTAAAACTCGTGTGCATATACACCCAAAATCCCAAGAGGAGCGTGGATGAGAAGGGAGTGCAGCATGGCCATTCCCCTTGGGAGGCTGATTTCTCTCTGTCTCTCTGTTCTCTCTGTCTCTCTGGTGAGTGCATGTACCCTATAGCAAAAAATCTCTCTTAAAAATAAACAAAATAAAAAGCAAAAGTAACAGCACAAATCCAGCAAGCCATGAATCAGGAGTAAAAAAAGTTGGCTGAACCACAGGAACCTGCCCCAGGGAGTCGCCAAAAAAGGCAGAGGTTTGAAAGAACACTAGATCAAAAAGTTTAGATTTAACACAATCAATCAGAGACAACTGCTAGGTTTTGAACTTCATAGTAAGATGAAATGACAGAATTCAAAGAAGGTTTTGCCAACAGCTGTGTGTGGCAGGCTACAGTGGAGAAATCTAGAGTCAAAGATTATTCAGAAGGTTGTTCATATAATGTGGGTCAGAGAGCTCCAGAAGGCAGTTCAGCAGTCTCTGGGAAGACGTTGATACAAGGGCATGAAGAAACAGCAGTAAATCAAAAATCCTAAACCTGGAGCCTCAGATGATGATTGTATTACAGGCAGGACCCACTTTTTAAAAGCTATGTGTTCTGAGGAGCATCTGTGTGCACTTGCCGAATTTGAAGAATGAGCAGGTAACAGACTAAGTGAAGTATGTCTTCACCAAGCACTGGGAAATAAGTCGTGCAGTGACAGACTACACATGTTCACAATAAAAAAAAAAGTCTATAGAGAGCAGTCTAAGAGCAGGGATATGGAGGAATTCAGTGAATGGCTGCTACAGAATAGAAACTATCCCTCCTGCCATCCACAAACACACATTCACATTACTCCCCCAAAGTTCCAAAATTATGATTTCCATAATTCTTGCTCCCTGAGAAGATGAAGCAGTGACTACACAATGCTATACAACTAACCTTGAACAATATCTTAGCCCATTTCAGCCTCCAGTTGCAACTTCTAGGACCAAAGCACTTTAGATATGGGAAACACAGAAAGATGGATGTTCTGGAATCTTCAATCTCATCCCTCAGTAAAATTCCAAACTGCAAATTCTACTAACAGAGGTCATGCCCATTTTGTTTACCAATACATCCCATAGTTCTCTGAATACTTAGCACTTAATAAATACTTAGCACACAGCATCTTATTCTCTTCCCTTCCTTCACTCTCCTCCTTCTGTGGTTCTTATGGTAGAATGCTCTGTTCCTCTACTTGAGCAATCTCATACATCCTCATATCTTGGCAGACAAATTCTAAAGCTGTACTTGTCAACTCTGCCTTTCATTCCTGAGTTGTGGGGATAAATCAGAAAGAATTTCTAGGGACTAACAGATGGTGTAATGGTTACGTCACTAGACTCTCAAGTAGTTGACCGCAACTGGAGTCCCAGACCCAGTGGCTTAAAACTCATGCAGGGTGTATGTGCATGCGTGCCCAAAAATCCCAAGAGGAAAATGGAGAAGGGACTGTGGCATGGGCATCCCCCCGGGGGGATGATTTCTTGCTTTTTATCTTTGTCTCTCTGGTGAGTACATGCCCTACAGCAAAAATCTCTCTCAAAAAAAAAAAAATTTCTGATTATTTCTTAAAGAACAAAATTGATCTGATAGACCACAGGAGCTCAGAACTCTGATAGCCTGGAATAGTATTACCTAGTAAAATTTTCTATCATGAAAACTTTTTTAAAGATTTATTTAATTTTATTTGCTTTACTATTTATTTTTTAATTTGACCAGAGAGGAAGGGAAAGTGAGAAAGCAAGCTGCCAGGTCCAGGACTTGAACTCCAGTCAGCCATGTGGGAGTCCAGCACCTTAACCACCATACAATCTGCTGGCCCCTTGATGGGAATATTCTAAACCTGCACTGTCCATTAAGGCAGTCGCCATGTGACAATCAGGTATCAAACTGTAGCAACAGAGGAACTGATTTTTTTTACTTAAACATTGGGTCATCAGGAAAGTTATGACATATTTTTGCATTAAAAAAACATGTCATGACTTTCCCAATGACCTAATAACGACATATGGCTGGGAGCTGCCATTTGTCCAGCCCTGATCACTCTCAAAGTCCTCCAGCTTGAAGTTAACAGCCTCATCTTCTAACCCCACAAAATTTACTTATTTCAACTCTCATTCCTTTTTAGAGAACTAGTCCTACTTTCCTGTCGCTCTCTCCCCTTTCTCCTAGATATCTATACATGCAACCCTGTGTGCACATCCATCCTTCAGGTATAGTGTACTGAATCATATCTCCCAAATAAGTCATTCTTAACATGATCTCTTGGTGTGGGTCTATTCTCTTTCCTTCCTCCTAACAACCAAAATCCTGTTCAACTTTCCAGACCCACCTCCATCCTGAGGCCTCCATTGAGCTATTTTCTCTCTACATCTTGTTATTATTGGACATGGTGGGCCTATATTCACAGTTCTCTGAATACTTAATGTGGATGTAATGCTCTCCCATGAGATTATAATTCCTTCAGGAACACTGCATCACTGCCTACCCGCCCAGAAAATATGCAGCAAGGGTTTGTGGAGATCATTGCCCTGTGGTAGTCCTGATCTTATATTTCAAGGTTTCAGGTGTTAAGCATACCTCTATCAAGTGCATACTATGTGCTAAGCACTGTGCTAAATGTCTTACATCAAGACTTACAGATGATAAGCACATATTCAAGTTACTTAGCCAAATGTATCAGAGCTAAGATTTAAATTCCAAAGAATGGGCTCTTAATCACTGTAGTATATACTTTTCTGGCTTTACTCACTTATTACTCAATCAAAATCACTGTATGTAAGCCAACTTAGGTGGTGCAGTCAGTAGAGTAGTGGACTGCAGTGCTAGAAGCCACACGGTTGACCACAAGTTTGTATCCCCAGCAAAGTCAATTTGAAATACACTGGGCATGCACATGGATGCTCAAGATCCTGAAAAGCTGAAGGGAAAGGGAAAGGGAGTTGGGATGTGACTGAGACCCTGTCAATGGTGCTTTCTTTCATATGTGCATATGCATGCTTTTTATCATAAATACAGTAAACTTAAAAAAAAAAAAAAACCTACTGTGTACCTTGTGCCACTCTAGTGCTGGGAATGAAGAAATAATACGTGAGCCCTGCCTTCATAAGGCTCAGAGTCTTGTGTAAAAGAAAAACACAGAAACGATTACAACTGACCCTCTATATCAACAAGGGATTGGTTCCAAGACATGTTATAGATGTTCAGATCCCATATGTAAAATGGCATAGTACGGTATAACAAATGTAGAATGTATGATGATTGGTCTGTGCAAAGGGTATTATGGAAGTACAAAGCTGGAGTACACAACCCAGACTAGGAACAAGAACGTGTCAAGGAGGGTTTGCTACAGGAATGGGCCAAAATTGAATTCTATATGCAAACTGGATTAACTGGATGTAAAGGGGCAGCCTAATTAGTTGAGGACCAGGAGATGTAGAAAGGAATCAGAGAAAAGGACACAAGCAAAGGGATGAGCAATGGCAACTGCACAGTCACATGAAGAAGCAGTTCAGTATTTTTGGACCTAAAGTATGAGACAGAGAAGAGGCTAGAGAGGCACGCAGGCTGGGTCCAGGTAAGGTGGGATCCAAGGGGGCTAGCTGAGAAGATCAAACCTTAGATGTTACAAAGGATTTTGCAATTCAAGAGACAATACAGGACCAACAGATAGTGTAATGGTTACATCACTGGACTCCCACGTGGCCAACGGTAGTTCAAGTCCCAGACCCAGCGGCTTGAAACTCACACTGGGCACATGTGCGTGTATGACCAAAATCCCAAGAGGAGAATAGAAGAGATTGTGGCAGGCTATCACTCCAGGGGGTGATTTCTCACTTTCTGTCATGCCTCTCTCTGTCTCTCTGGCAAGCACATGAACCCTATAGAAAAATCTCTCTCTAAAAAAAGATAATAAATGTTTACCAAATGAATTATAAAAAAGAACAGATGAATGAACAGACAGGCCTTTAAATATTAAGCAGAAATAAGACAGATTTGTTTCCAAAAATCACTTGGATAGTGAGAGAACGTAGTATGGAGAACAAAAGAAAACAGGACTAGAGCCAGGAAAACCAGTTAGAAGGTTGTCACATCTCGGGTGAAAATTGAAGCCTAAAGTAAAACTACAATAGAAATGGAGATGACAACACAGATTTGAGAAATATTTAGGAGGTGAAATCATCAGGACTTTGATGGATGATGTGTTCAATTTCAGATGTTTGAACTTTTGGGACTGTGAGACTTGCAGACAGAGCTGTCCAAAAGAATAGTCAGAAGTGAGGGTGAGGCTCAGAAAAGAGGTTTGAAAACTTAGATTTGGGAGCATATAAGAAGTAGTTAAAACCAAGCTAACTGTAAACCCAGGTAGTGTCAACTCTGTATGAAAATAAATGCTGTAGAATACATCAGCTGAGTATTTTGCACTGCAAAGCAAAGGAAAAAGGAGTAAGAAGTCTGGTCAGGTTTCAAAAGAAACAGAGGGATCCAATAATGATTGAAAAATGTCTGTCTAGTTTAATAATTAATCACTGGTGACCTTAGGGTGAAATTTCAGGAGAATGATGGGTCTGAAAGCTAGACTGCAAAAGGGTGTGAGAGGTGAGAAAATGAAGACAGAATTTAGAATACTCCTTAAAAGTTCGGATAAGAAGGGGAAGAGAGTTACTGGATGACAGTTAAAAGAAGATAGATCACCAAAGACTTTCTCTTTCGGTCTGGTGGAGGGGAAATGTCACAGAATATCTGATAAACCTGACCTTGTTTACACATGACTAAAACACAGAAAGGAATAGAAATGACAAATGAAAACAAGCTCTCATAAGTGAAAGCATAAAAGAAAGCAAAGATAAAGGGATTTGCTTTGATCAGAAAGACAACTCCAAGATTAAAGGAAAAGTAAAGATAGGCATAAATCTAGACAACTTAGAAAAATGGAAAGAGGCAGACAATTGAGAAAAAAACATGTCAATTATCTTAATTTTCTTTATAAAATAATAAGTAATACTACAGTTAAGTGTCAGGGAGCTTAGTGAACTGTCAAAGAAAATCAATATGAAATAGTGGTGAACTTGAAAACCTTCAAAGTTAGAAGTTTCAACTTCAGAGATGAGCAGATGGTGTAATGGTTACATCACTGGACCGCCATGTAGTTGATTGCAGTTTGAGTCCCAGACCCAGAGGCTTAAAACTCACACCAGTGTGCATGTATGCTCAAAATCCCAGGAAGGGAATGGAAAAGGGACTGCAGTGTGGCAATCCTCCCTGGGGGTGATTTCTCACTTTCTGTCTCTGTCTCTGTGGTGAGTGCACACACCCTACAGCAAAAACCTCTTAAAAAAAAAAAAATAGAAGTTTCACCTTCATATTCTGGCTCCACCACTTATTCACTGTGTGACTTGAAACAAGTTATTTAGTCTCTCAAGTCTTCTTAACTGTCAAACATTGTTTTACACCAGAGTTATCACAATGGCTAAACAGGAAAATGTATAAAGCTAATGTCAGATGAAGAGTAAGCATTCAACACTTTCTTTAAAAATTCTAGGAAGGGGAACCAGCAGTTAGCGTAATGGCTATGTCGCTGGACTCCCACGTAGTCGACCGCGGTTCGTATCCCGGACCCGGTGGCTTAAAACTCACGCCGGGCGCGTGTGTGTGCGTGCCCAAGATCCCGAGAGGAGAATGGAGGAGAAGGGATTGCGGCGTGACCATCCCCCGGGGGGTGATTTCTCGCTTTCTATCTCTATGTCTCTCTCTGTCTGTCTGGCGAGTGCACACGCCCTACAGTGAAAAATCTCTCAGAAAAAAAAAAAAATTCTAGGAAGTACTTACACAAGATAAAGAATGAGAGAGAGAGAAACCCCCTATGCACAGGGTCTCAGGATGCCACAATTCTGTTTCTCCAATTCTCCATCCTATCAGGATCCTGAGTATGCTCATGCCTGACTGGAAGACAACAGATGTAGACTCAAAGACTCAAACCCTGGTTGGCCTTTCAGTCATGTTGGATCCAGCTTCTTCTGCCTAGTGCTTAACCACTGCACTATGGTGCCACCCCCAGCGTTCAACACGCTTACCACTTTTGCTAATAGTGAAGGTATCAGAGCACCCACATGCTGGTGATCCACGGCTGGCTGAAGCTGAGGTAAATCACAGGGTCAAGATCCTCTTAGATAACTGTCCCTTTCTCTCATGAAAGGAATAAATAATTTTTTTAACTAAAATAAAAACAGTGAAGGTAGAATGAAAGCAGGAGCTGAGGACATGTAAAAAAGATCATCAGTAGGTGGCATGATGGTTAGAGCACTGGACTCCCACATGGCTGATGACAGATCAAGTCCCAGACCTAGCAGCTTGCTTTATCACTTTCCTTGTCTCTGTGTCTCTCTGGTCAAATGAATTTTTTATTTTAATTAATAAAATTAAATAGATAATTCTTTTTTAAAAAATAACAGAAAGGAATGCCTGTGCAGCTATGATGAAATGGCACAAATCTGCACTATCTCCCCACATGACTAGTCTGTCTCAAGTGTACTATAAGTCTTCCAATATAAGCCAAATTTTCAAAAGGCCCCCAACCTGGGGCATATTAATTCCAAATGTTAATTAAAACCCTGCTTGTTGAACCACTATCACTGATCTGTATGAAAATAAAGACCTGCTGCTTCTGGCAGCCCCACAGGCCTGAGGATGTTGTGAGGGGCCCTCAGTTCTCTTCAGGGAACGTTTCTGGTGGGAACCCTGTCCTTCCCAACAAGCTGAGCCGCCTCCTTGGATTGGACAGTGCCCACTTTCTAATTCGTCTTTTTTCCTACCTGTGTTAAGACCAAGCTCGGTACAGATGCCGGGGACACGGGGACAAACACGAAGTGGGGCGGAGGCCAGCGTGAGCGCCCGCTGAAACACGGCGCGAGGTCTACCAAGAGGGCAACCGGGAGAACGCCAATCAGCGCACATCACTAGAAGGCGGTAGGAGCTCCGGCCTAACGCCCACATCCGCGGCGTCCAACCCAGCCAGGAGACGAGGCAGGCCAACAACTGCCTTACCTCGGGAACGCGGACCCCGACACGCCCTCATAAATCCATCTGTGCCTGGCCGCTTCCGGCGCTGCGCGATGACGTCAAAACGGGCTGGCGCACGAGCAGGAACGATCGCAGTGCCTCTCCGAGGATTGGCTGGAAAGATCCCACCTCTATCAAAAAGCGCCGGTTCCAGTTGGTCCCTCGTTGATCCGGGTTCCTGGAAGTTAAGTCAAGAGACGGATCCTCTCAGAGTCTCTGTCTGACGGCTACTCGCCTGTCACTGCCCCTCAGTCTCTGGATCGGGAGAGACTTCAGACTTCATTTTCCTATAGCCGTTTCTAAGCGGCCGTGAAGCCTCTTGACACTCTTCCTAGAGAGAACCTCACTTCCTTTCCGACTGCAGAAAGAATGCAGATGGCATCGCCTCCTCCCTTTTTAAACTAGTCTGCTTTCTCCCTTTTAGGGGGAGAAAAGACTGGAGGGGTGAGATGTGGGGAAAACTGCTAAGATTTCGTTAACCGTCTTCACTAAATGAACTGTCTGAGGAGCAAATTGGGGAGAAAAGCAGAATGAGGGGATGAGATGCATAGTGATTTTTATAGCAATTCCCGCCAAGAATCATATATTCCAATTATGCAAAGGCATTTTGACAGATGAAAGAAATCCTGTCTCATAGCAAAAAGGCATAGCTTATAATTCATGTCAAATAGAGTAGAAACTGAAGAAGATTCTTTGACCAAACTTTAGTCAGGCTTCTGAATCTTCTGCTAGGTCCATCAGTGCACTTCTTTGTAAAACTCCGGTATTAGCAAAGAACTGTGATATGTCAATTTAGCAAGGACCTCACCCCCCGGGGTATCTGATCATCATCAGTATCTGATCAGATTCTTCATCCTCCACCATCCCCTAGATAATGTCTGCAATAATCCCATTAGGTCAGTTTGACCAGAATCCCCCATACCCCTGATAATTTCCTTTTAGTAGTTTTCCATCCACTGACCCCACACTATTCTTTGGCTATAAATTTCCACTTGCCCTAGTGCATATGCATGAGTACCCAAAATCCTTTTAAGGAAGGAGACGGGGAAGGGACTGCAGCTTGACCTTCCCCCGTGAATGATGCTTTCTCACTTTCTCCAATGAACACATGCACCCTGTGACAGAAAAATATATGTAAGTGCATGAAAATACAAAGTAAAAGTAAATATACCAACATTGCTATGGTCTTGCATGCTTAATACTACAATGTGCTAATAAAATAAATCAAAGATCTGGGACCAGCAGATGGTGTAGCCCTTGAGATTGCTGGTTCTTACCACGGTTGGAATCGTGAACTTGGTAGTTTGAAAAATCACATGAAGCGTATGTGCATGGGTGCCCAAGATCCTGAGAGGAGAATGAAGGAGTAGGGACTGCAGCATGACTATCCCCTCTAGGGGTGATTTCTTACTTTCCCTCTCACTCACTCTGTCTCTCTCCAGAGAATGCACATGCTCTAAGACAAAAACCTCTAAAAAACAATTTAAAATAAAAATAAATAAATCAAGGATCTAAATAAGTGGAGACACATACCATACTTATGGATTGAAAGACGTAACTCAGAAAAAAATATCCATTCTTCCTATATCAATATACAAGTTTAACATAATTCCTAAAAATAGCAGCAAGGTTTCTGTAGAATTTTTTTTTAATTTGCCAGAAAGTGCAAGAGCTTGTCAAAGAGAAACAAAAGGCAGTACGGAGGAAAGGAAGTGAGTGTGTCTATAAAAGGGCAACATGAGATATCCAAGTGATGATGAAAATGTTCCATGTCTTGACTTATTTATGTCAGTATCCTCACTATTAATGTCAGTATCCTCACTGTGATAACATGCAATAATTTCTGCAAAATTCAATCATTGGGGGAAAAAGACTGGGCAAAGTGTACACAGTAAATCCCTGTATTATTTACTACAGGTGAATCTATAGTGGAAAAAAAATGTCCACTTGCCCAATCTGTATTCAAAGTTGAGTCCAGTCTCTCTCCAGCCACAATTCCACTGCAGTATCCTTTTACCTATCTCAGTCATCCTGAATAAAGTCTGCCTTACCATGCTTTTATAAGTATTAGTGAATAATTTTCTCTTAAAAAAAACTGACCCTTAATTAAGGATACATTCTTGATTAAGATGGAATATTGTTTCCTTTCATAGAAAAGCAGACTTAGAAGTATGAGAGATATCAGAGCTGTCAAGACAGGAAACATAGGAGAGAGATTTAGTTTTTGTTGTTGTTGTTGTTCTTGGTTTTTGGGAGTTTTTTTCCCTCTAACTCTGCTACAGAGCACATGGGCTCACGAGGGGTGGGGGGTAGGGCATAGTCAGAAACCCGGAGGGAATAGCCACACAGCAATTTCTTCTCCTTTCTTCTCTCAGAATTTAGGGGCGCACACACACCCATCCAGTATTTTTTTTTCCAAGCCACCAGAGGTTCAGGACTTAAACCACATAGTCACCCAGGTGGGATCCAACCACCTCAACCACCATGCCACCAGGGAGATTTACTTCTGTTACCAGAGAAGATGCAGGTTTGTATTAGGGTCACATCAGGAAGTGGAGAAACACAGGAAGTGTCTCAGCAGCCACAGAGGCCACACATGCCTGAGGAATGCAGTTCATAACAGCTTAACAGAAAAAGAGGTGGTTTGGGTGACCCTACCAAATTGTTTCCTCAAATTTAAGCTTCTCTTAGCATCTATTTCTACCTGACTTGACTTTACATGTCTTGCATCCAAAAATTTGACTGGATCATTCTAATTGGATTATTCATCATGTAATGTACAAAATTTGGCGAGTTTCCACACCCAGCTTGTTAGGTCTAGCTCATTGTACCTATTGTGCTAGTGGCCAGAAAAAGCAAGGTCACATAATGCAATCCACAGCTTAAGGGTAAGGCAGGCACTTCAGACTTTCACAGCTTCACGTTATACACTAACTGCTGGTCCCAACTGCATCTACCTTTTGACTATTGTACATAATATTGCTATGAACATGATGTATGAAAATCTCTTCAAGATTATATAGTCAGGACCAGCAGTTGGCATGATGGCCATGTCACTGGACTCCCATGGAGTTGACCGCGGTTCGAGTCCCGGAGCCGTTGGCTTAAACTCATGCTGGGTGCGAGCATGCCCAAGATCCTGAGAAGAGAATGCAGGAGAAGGGATTGTGGTGTGGCCATCCCCCCCGGGGGGTGATTTCTAGCTTTCTGTCTCTCTCTGTCTCTCTGATGAGGACACACGCCCTATGCCAAAACCTCTCAAAACAAAAAAGATTATATATTCAATGATTTCGAATATACACAGGAAAAAGCAATTGATGAGTTATATAGTAATACTTTTTTAATATGTTGAGGAACTGCCATATATTTTCCATAGTAGCTGCATCATTTTACATTTCCACCAATAATGCCCAAAGTTGGGACCAGCAGTTGGCATAATGGCTATGTCGCTGGACTCTCACGTAGCCGACCGTGGTTTGAGTCCCAGACCTGGTGGCTTAAACTCACGCTGGGTTCATGTGCGTGCATGCCCAAGATCCCGAGAGGAAAATGGAGAAGGGACTGTGGCAATGGCCATCCCCTCTAGGGGGTGATTTCTCACTTTCTGTCTATCTTTGTCTTCCTGGCGAGCACCCTATAGCAAAAACCTCTCCAAAATAATAATAATAATAATAATGGTGCCCAAAGTTTCCAATTGCTCTACATCTGCACTCACACTTGTTCCTAGGTAGGGTTTTGTTTTGTTTGTTTGTTCATTTTTGCTAAAAGGCACATGTGTGAGAGAAAAAGAAAGCAACCTCCAGGGAAGATGACCACATAGCAAACTCCTCCTCTACTCTACTCTCAGGATTTTGGACACACACACACAGTCCTGTCCAGCAGGTTTTTCAAGCCACCAGGTCTGGGACTTGAACCACTTATTTGGCCATTTGGAATTCAGCCATCATAACCACCTGGCTGACTCCACTTTGTTTTTGTGGTGGTGGTGATGGTGGTTGTTATTATAGCAGTCATTCTCATGGGTGAAAATAATTTATTGTGATTTTGATCTGTATTTTCTAATGATTAGTGATGTTGGTATTTTTATATTTATTGTCCATTCATGTATTTTCTTTGAGAAATGTCTGTTCAAGTCTTTTTCTCATTTTTGAATTAGGTTTTCTTTTTTTCTTGTTGTGCTGTGTGAGTTCTTTATATATTCTGGAATTAACCTGTGATCAAATATAAGATGTGCAAGTATTTTCTATTTTGTATATTGCCTTTTATTTTTTTTAAATAATCATTTTATTTCTTATTATTATTTTAATTTGGCCAGAGAGAGAGAGAGAAAGGGAATGTGAGAAAGCAAGCCACCAGGTCTAGGACTTAAACCGCAGTCAGCCACCTGGGAGTCCAGAACCTTCGCCATGCCACCTGCTGGCCCCAGGTTGCCTTTCACTCTGTTGATCCTATTCTTTGATTCACAGTTTTTTTATTTTAACGTAGTCCAATTGATCTATTTTTACTTTTGATGCCAGTGCTTTGGGTGTTACAGCCAGGAAATCATTGACAAATGTGTCATAAAGCTTTTCTCTCTGTTTTCTTCTTAGAGTTTTATCATTTAAAGCCTTACATTTAGGTCTTGAATGTTTTTTGTTTGTTTGTTTGTTTGTTTGTTTAAAAGAGAGACTTTTGCTATAGGGCAGTGCACTCACCAGAGACAGAAAGCAAGAAGTCACCCCCAGAGGAATGGCCACACCGTAATCTCTTTTCCTCCATTCTCCTCTGAGGACTTTGGGCATGTATGCATATGTGCCCAGTGTGAGTTTCAAACCTCTGAGTCCAGGGCCCTAACTATGGTTGACCATGTGGGAGTCCAGCAACATAACCATTATGCCATATGCTGGTCTCCTTGGGTCTGCTTTTAATACTGTGTAAGGGAAGGATCCAACTTCTTTCATTTAAATATAATACTCAGTTTTCCAGAACATTGAATGATCCTGGCATCTTGGTTGAAAATTATCTGGAGCCAGCCGGTGGTGTGGTGATTGAGGCTATTGGATCCCACATAGCCAATAGCAATGTTAAGAGTCCTAGATGCAGTGACTTGAAAAACATGCTAGGGGAAAAGAAAAGAAAAAGAAAAACATGCTGGCATCTGTGTGTACATGCCCCAAATCCCAAGAGGAGAATGGAGAA